TACAAAAATGAGACAAATGACTATAAGAGCATATACTTTTTGCCTGCATTCTCTGTTTATGAACCAAAGCTCCCACTGTTTATTGGGATGTTGTACACATCTTAAATGCCTTGAAAAAATAAAGAATTAAAAAAAAAAAAAATGACTTGAGTTTTGGAAAAGCCATGGCAATGAAAGAGTTACGGCATGGACTTTTAGTTTTCAAAGTAATTTTTCTTGGAATAGCGTTGTTTACAGCTGTAAGCCAGCTTTATTTGTTTTTATCACTCTTTTTTTTGTATATTTTGGATACAATAGAATACTTGCACTATTCCTTCACGCAGGGTCGAACTAACCAGTGTCTCTAGGAAAATTATAGAAAATATGTAACATTACAACACATGGCTTATGTGGGTGGTCAGTAGGCAGACAATGTTGCATGTATATGGTACACACTTTCATATACAGTTGTAATCAAAATAATTTCATGCCCATTGAAAATCAGGTTTAATGTCAAAACTTACAGACTGTCAGCTGTCTGCAATTACCAAATGAAACAAAAGCAATCGAAATAGCTCAACACAATGAATGCTTCACGTGGTTTCCAAGAATTCAAATGAAAATAGAACTTATAATGGAAAATAGAACTTACCTGGTCTCAGAATTATACAACCCCTTCACGGCGAACATCTTTAGTACTTAGTAGAGCACCCTATAACACCATAGCAAGTCATTACAAGCCCGCTGCATGGAGTCTGTTCAGCATTTGAAATACAAGTAAATTTCACTGCTTCTGTATATATATATTTAAAAGCACATGCCTAAATCTAAACCAAAAAAAGCTTCTCTAATTTAAACTTAAAATAATTAACAGATCTATATATTGGAGTTAATTCCTTCCTGACTGTGACTCCAACACATTTCAGTAAATAAGTACCAGGACAGGGGTCTGCGCTTACACTGACACATCTACATTATAGCAAAATAAGCACACATAAGGAGGATTATATTAGTAATAGCACAATTAGTTTTTATTTTAAAAATTATCATTTTCTAATATTTTTTTTATTGAAAGTATTTACATATATGTTATATCAACATTACAAAATTAAAACATAAGAAAGTGTAAATATTATTTTTCACAATATGAAGAACAAACAATATTTGAATCAATGTACTAATAACAATACATTAAATCCAAATTCGTGATGATTTCTTTTTGATCAAGTCTGTTATCCGGAAGGAATCTATTATGATTTATTCGAGGTTCTAAGTGCTTTCCGTTTTCAGCGGTGCTAAAAGTTTCACTTGTGATGTAATCAGACATTTTCAACAAGAATGACAGAGGGATCGACTTTTATACATGATGTGCTTTCTAAAAATAAACTTCTACCTTCACCAGTATGAGATGATCACTAAAACTAGAGGGTGGCTAAATGGTGCAGAGATTTGGGTATTAGAGAATATGTGTCATAAGATAAATACTGTTACTAACTACACAGTAGGAAACAAAACCAAATGTACACACTATGCCAAACCCAATCTACACTTAAAGGAACACTATAGTGTCAGGCGTATAGACATGTGTAGAGTAGGAATTGCTGGTTAGGTCCCAGGCCACCTCTATGTGGAAATTAAAGATTTAGAAATTACCTTTTTTCCATCACCGCGCCTGGCCCGACCTCCATACCTGAGATCATCAATCATGATGATCTCAGCCAATCCGGTGCTTTCCCATCATCTGACTGCCACTAGAGGTGTTCCTACGCATCAATGTCAACATTTCCTTGTCTCTGAAAAGGCATTGTTTACAGTGCTAATACTGCAGAGACAGGTTATAGACACCAGAACCACTACATTAAACTGTAGTGGTTCTGGTGACTCTAGTGTACCTTTAAATAACAGAAATCTTTAGTACCATTGAAATGGCTGCTTTGGGTAAATTATTTTGTAGGAATTCATAAGAATACCCACTTCTGTCTCATTAGAGAGTTTGCATTTAAGCTGAACACACTAAAGTATATTATTAGTTTATAACTAAACATCAACAAATGTACCTTGATGTTGGCAGGTGAGCTTACACTTTAAGGGGCACTTCAGTGGTGCTAATTAGGATAGAACGCAAGTAAATTTTTTTGGTTTATTATCATTATATATTTCATTATATTTTCTAAAAAAAATAGCAAATACATTTTTTTAAAAATTGTTTTACAAATATAGTTGCTTAAAGGAAGACTCTAAGGGTAAGAATTAATAAGGTTATATATATGTAACCTTAGGATAGTAATACCTTTCCTCAGAGTGTTCTACTTTTCAATTATATTCAGGAGATTAATCTCCACTGCTTTAAGGTTAGAAATCAATATGGTGCTCGCATTTGTTTGAAATTTATTTTACATCTTTTTTTTTTGTCTAGCGCTATTGTATACTTCATATACACATACTGTCTGATAGTGTAGGCAAGTTTTAAGGCTTTCATATGCACACGCAAATATAAAAAAATGCAGTGCTCTGGAACCTAACCCACAGTATTAGCAAGGCAGGCCTCTATGTTCTTTTAACTATTTGGATTGCTGGGCCCTTGTTAAAGGTAAAAAAAAAAAAAAGAAATTACATTCACTTTTTATACAGCACTTTCCTGGTCTTGGCACTGCAGCCATTACACCTCTTTTGGGACTACCAAGTGATGATCTCAGTCCAATCGAATGCTTCTCATAAAGAAGATTTGGGAACAGTTTCAGAGAAACTGCTATGTTTATAATAGGATTAATCCAGCCTGTAGTGGCTGTCTCATTGACAGCCGCTAGAGGCGCTTCCGCGCTTGTCACTGTGATTTTCACAGTGAGAAGACGCCAGCGTCCATAGGAAAGCATTGGGAATGCTTTCCTATGAAACTGGCTGAATGCTCGCGCGCATTCAGCCGAGGAGGAGGAGAGGAGGAGGAGAGTCCCCCACCCGGCGCTGGAGAAAGAGGTAAATTTAACCCCTTCCTCACCCTAAAGCCCGGCGGGAGGGGTGCCCTGAGGGTGGGGGCACCCTCAGGGCACTATAGTGCCAGGAAAACGAGTATGTTTTCCTGGCACCATAGTGGTCCTTTAATGCAAAGAATGTGAGGATTTTGCCTGAACAACCTAGTTCTGCCTGCTATCTGCCAAAGTTTAAGAGTACTATAGCAGAAACAAACTTTTTTCTGTGTTGTCAAAACATCATAGAATAGTCACCGGGGTTTATTTCACAACACATGTCACGTTATAGTAGTTATTGCTCCAAAACCAGAAAAGAAAGCATTCAGCTTATTCTGTTGGGTAAACACAATGTTGCTAGTAAACACTTATAATAATCAGCTTCTGTTACAAGATGTATTGAAAATAATGATCAGTACAATTTTAGATTTTTGGTATATAGGCAGTGGTGACTCAAGGAACAGTACAGGGGGGGCAATAGATACCTGTCAGGATTACAAGCTGATCCAGCACGCAGTACTGTTTTAAGCCTAGGACTAAGGATAACGTATAACCGGACCTTAGGATGGCCGGACTTAACGTCTCCAAGAATAGTTAAAATACTAGCCGAGGTCAGGGACACAGAATCAGACACAAAGATGAGGGAAAGCCAAAAGTCAAGGATACCAGATAGCAGGGAAGTCAAAACAAAGCAAAATACCAGAAAATCAAGATCAGGAATGCACTCTCGGATAACCATAGGCATGAAACCACGACAGGGCAATGAGGAAGAGGAGAGCTGGGTTTAAATACCCCTCCTGTGGATCCGATTGGCTGTGACCTCAAAGGCAATTACCAGGTTTCCATGAGCTTGACTGCTGCTTGGCACAACTTTTCCTGTCAGGACAGTAATGTTGCTTGGCACAACTTTTCCTGTCAGGACAGTAAATGCCATTAACCACATTTTTATGTGCGGATCAATAAGTGACAATAATCAAAACTGGGGGAGGCACTAATAATTTTCACCACTAAATTGTATTAGTAGCAGGTGGATAGAGGCTGTGTCGTAGAGGTCTATTTGCTATATTGGGTGCAGGGTAAGGATAGGGGCTGTAGCGGGTAGGGAAGGGATGGGCGTTAATATAGACTTTAATGGGTGCAGGGGAGGGACAGGGGTTGTAGTGCATTCAAGTAGGCATTGTGGGTGCAGGGGGTAATAGAGTCTATAGGGAGATAGGGGCTATAGTGTGTGCAGGGTGTTATAGAGACCGTAGTGGATGTAGAGGGTATTAGGGGCTGTAGTGGGAGGGAATGTAATGCGTATAGGGGGCATAGGGGCTGTATTGGGTGCAGTCAGTAATTGAGGCATTAGTGGTTTCGTTAGGATGGATAGTGTCTGTAGTTGGTATAGTGACTGTAGTGGGGGCAGGGCCGGATTAACATAGGGGCTGATGGAGCTGCAGCTCCAGGCCCAGGCCCATGGAATAGGCCAATTGATTGGAAAAAAAAAAAAAAAAATCTTTTTTTTTTTTTTCCTACCTACTCTTAGGGATTCCACCTGGCTTTTATTTTATTGGCACAGACAGTATTTGAGGCTGCCTGGCTAGTGCCAATATTGCAGTGATACTGGCAATACAAATGCTGGTATTTTTCTCAGTATAAACAAGAGATTACTCTGCAATACCAGCACTGGCCAGTAGGGGGTCACTGTGTGTGGAGACAGGCAGGGATAGGAAGTTCCAGCATATCCCTCCCTGCCTATCTATACTCACTGATCTGCAGGGGTGCAGCTACAGAGAGTCCAGACAGCAACTCCCACCCTGCAGAGACAGCCTACAGCTCAGGGAAGTAAGGGATGGGGGGAAAGGCTGCAAGGAGACATTCACTGAGACACTAAGGGACATTGGGAGACATTATGAAACAGACACATGGGGACACAGTGTCCCCATGTCTCCCAGCCAGTGTCCCTGGTGTCTCAGTGACCCCTAGTCTCCTAGTGCCCCCAGTCTGCCAGTGTCTCACTGTTCCCATGTCTCCTAGTGCCTCCATGTCTCTCAGTGCCTCAAGTGTCACAATGTCCCCATGTCTCCAAGCTAGTGTCCCTAGTGTCTGTGGCCCTGGTGTCTCAGTGTCCCCATGTCTCCCAGTGCCCCATGTCTCAATGTCCCCATGTCCCCCAGCCAGTGTCTCTAGTGTCTGTGTCCCTGGTGTCTGTGTCCCCATGTCTTCAAGTGTCCCCTATTTTCCCATTGTCCCCATGTGTCCCAGCCAGAGTCCCCTAGTCTCCCAGTGTCACTGGTGTCTCCGTGTCCCTAGGTCTCCCCGTGTCCCCAAGTCTCCCCGTCTTTCTAGTGTCCTAGTGACATGGGGACCCTGGGATACATGGGGACACAGGGAGACATCGGGCATTGAGACACTGTGATACATAGGATCACTGGGAGACCCGGGGACACGACACTAGGGGACACTGGGAGACATGGGGCGCTGAGACACTGATACATAGGAACACTGAGACTTGGAGTAATCGACACATGGGGGCACTGGGAGACATGGGGGCACTGGGAGGAATCCATCTATACAGCAGAATCAAACTAAGTAGTTTTTTGGTGATTTTACAGAATTTTCTCTTATGTCACTCCTTGTGATTTACATCATGTGATGTCACCCATACATATTTAATTATGCAAATTAGTAAGGCCGGTATGTTTTTCCAAGAAAGGTGGCAACCCTAACTACTTTTTACATACTCTTACTTAAGTATGGAAACTTAAGAGGGATGTATGGGAACAAAACTTGTGTGGACTGGTTGACAATGAATATAGTTAAAGGGACACTATAGTCACCAGAACAACTACAGCTTATTGAATTTGTTCTTGTGAGTAGATTCATTACCGTCAGGCTTTTTGCTGTAAACACTGTCTTTTCAGAGAAAATGCAGTCTTTACATTACAGCCTAGTGATAACTTCACTGACTACTCCTTAGATGACTGTTAGAGATCCTTCCTGGGTCATGGCTGCCTAAAATGCATCCAAACATCAGTGTCTCCACCCTCTGCATGCAGACACTGAACTTTCCTCATAGAGATTCATTAATTCAATTCATCTCTATAAAGAGATGCTGATTGGCCAGGGCTGTGTTTGAATCATGCTGGCTCTGACCCTGATCTGCCTCTTTGTCAGTCTCAGCCAATCCTATGGGGAAGCACTATGATTGGATCAGGCCACCACTTCTAATGATGTCAGCAGACTGCTTGTTTTTATGAGTCTAACAGCATGCAGAGTTACAGCTTCAGGCTTGAATATAGTAAGATTTTGAGGCATGCCCAGGGGGGCTAGATGGTGGTGTTAATACTATAGGGTCATGAATTCATGTTTGTAATCCTGACCCTCTTGTGATCCTTTAAGGTAATGCTGACTTTGGTCTCTCTAACACTGTGGCATGTTCCCTTTCTTCTACACTCACTACATACAGCTTTTCTCCTTCACAGACTATATACCAGGAGCTTCTGCCTGCTAATAAGAAGGTAAGGAGACAAGTGGACCAGCGAGTGCTAGGGAACAGTCCTTAGAAAGCGTTGAGTGAACGCATCATTAGATGCATTTATGCCAAGCTCAGGGTGCTGTCTGCATAGTATGCCCTTAGTTGGCCAGCTGCATGATTGGCAGGCAGCCTGACATGCATTCATGCCAGACTGGCCTTCTAATTCTTTGGGCAGACATGTCCTCTTTTTGGGCATGTTCGCCCCTTTTGGCAGGTTACGTGATTTGTGTCAGTGGCACACCCTTTTACCATGCCCATTGACTTCATGCCTGACTGGACACTACTGTTAGGGGTTATGGATTTACTTGAAAGATGAAAACATAAATTAGAGAGAGATTAGCCTAGGATATGTGTTTTCTTATAGCTGCTGTTTTCTTTCTCTCCAGCACCATCTCTATCAGATACATGATGCTTGGGAGTGTTTTACTGTTTTTGGTTGATATGATTCTGTTATTAGCCCGTCATAATTGTCAGCACCAGGCCCACTGGGCTCTTAATCTGGCCCTGGCTGCTGGCATTAACAATGAAAAGGCTGTTCATCAATGGAAGAAGTCATACTGCTTAATGGGTTTTGACTAACTTCCACAGAATTTTATAATGAGCTAAATGTGACTTCAATCTGAAGGTTTTTCCAATATGCAAACGAAAAAAACATTTTGGCTAATGATTTTTTTTTAAATGTTAAAAATTAGTTATGTGTTATCTATAATGTTAAATTTTCTTAAGTGTTAAAACAATAAATACCAACAAGCATGTAGTAAATATCAATATAGTTTCATAATATGGTTGGAGCATGGAGCACCCAGAGCCTGCAGGCCAGTCACCCATTTTTTTTTGTTTTAATCATTTATTTAACAATGATGTTTCCTGAATTTTAGAGCAGTGAACATCTGAAACAAAATGTGTTATTTAAACAAAAAGGTTTTTGCAAAGATAGACTGACAACATTTTACTGAAAGGGAACTTGGAGGGGAGAAGGAAGGGGTTAGATGTATGGCTGTGAGGGGTTAGATGTATGTTTTGCAAGATTGCAAAAGTTGTACCTATCCATAAAAGTGGTGACAATACTTTGGTATCTAACTATCACCCGATATCATTGCTCCCAGTATTGTAAAATATCTTTGAAAAATGCGTCCACACGCAACTTTGTGAATATTATCAACAATCAAATTATCTGACCCCTGATCAATCAGGCTTTCGTCCAAATCAATCAACCATGACTGCCCTCTTAAAAGTTTGCAATGACATCCAAATTGGCATGGAACAATTAAACTTAACTGGAGCTATTTTCCTTGATTTTGCCTGTAGACCATAGCATTCTTTTACAAAAACTTAAAAACTCAGGCATTGGTAATCGTCCACTAACCTGGTTTCAATCATATGTTTCAGACCAATTGCAATATGTAGCCAATTCTAATAGCGCTTCCCTCCCTCTTCCAGTCACTTGTGGTGTTCTCCAAAGCTGCATACTCAGCCCCCTGCTATTCACATTATTTATAAATGATATGCAAATCCTCAACTCTACACATGTACGCAGACAACACTGTAATCTACGCTAGTAAACCCAAGCTACCGCAGCTTGAGGCTGTGCTCCAAAACCAATTCACTGAGGTAGAAAAGTGGATAGTGGATAACAAACTCTTCCTAAACACTGACAAAACTGTTACAGATCTTTGGAACTGTACCTAAATTATGTAAACTACAAAATCAACAACTGTGTATCAGAACAAATTCAAATAGCACACTGACAGCAGTCTGCTCTTTTAACCCCTTAAGGACACATGACATGTGTGACATGTCATGATTCCCTTTTATTCCAGAAGGGGTTAAATATCTAGGTATGTTGCTAGACCACAATCTATCCTTTGGCTTTCACATTGAAAAAATCTCTTCAAAACTTTACCCCAAACTAGGTGCCCTGTATAGAAACAAATCCTGCCTAAGCCCTACAGTAAGGAAACAGTAGTAACAATAGTGCAACAAATGCTAATGCCAGTTATTGAATATGGGGATGTAGTGTATGCACCCGAAATGCAAACATAATACGTTATATAATTAATTCTGCCATTTTGTACTAGAATGTAATTACTTTACCCACCACTGTGACATGTCAAAAGAGCTAAACTGGCTATCGCTGGAATACCAACGCACTCTTCATCTTTCCAGCCTTGTGCATAAGAGCATTTCTGGGAAGCTTCCACCCTACCTGAGTAGAATGCTCTTCCCAGCTGTTCCCAGCTGTACTCCGATCCAGTACAAGCACGATATTTAGCATACCGCAATACAAAAATAAAGTTGCTCGATCCTCATTTTCCTAAAGAGCACCGCAATTACGGAATAACCTCAGAGTCAAATCTTTACTCAATCTAAAATCTTTTGAGATCTGTAGTGGAGCCCTAGATCTAGCAGGGACTCTCCTCTACTGGTTTCTCCAACATACACTCAGGAAGAAGTAAAATACTCAAAGGGAACAGCCAAATACAGAAAAATACTCCAAGAATCTCCCACCTCCTCCCCAGCCACTGGACGACACTCAGCTCTAAGGGTATGACTGCTTTTAAAGGAGCTACACACAGCCTTTAATGAGAATCCCCAATGCAAGGGGTTTCCAATTACACATTCCAGGGGCATTTCCCACTAGACTGAGTAGACTGAGACAGACTGAGTAGACTGAGACAAAGTATACAATATAATTACATTAACTCTCAGGTCTAGGACATGTACAATAGTAATCACCCAAAAAACATATATTTCCCCACAAGGTACCCCTTTAAGTCCTATATCTCTTGATAGACAGGATCTGAGCACCCAACATATCTGAAAAGTGCTCTAATCCCACAAAAGCAGCCGAAACGCAGCCGGGGTATAGTTTAGACTGACCGCCCGTGCCTGCTCAAAAAGGTTCCATGAAATCAGGCTGTGCGGTCGGTCTCTTTAGGGATTATAAACTGCATGAAAAACCAATCCAAAATTGTTCATGCGTACATTCGGAAGGTGTATCTTGTTCAGGAGTTTGCTTCCCCTGAACGCCACTCTGTTTGCCGGAATCCCCACAAATATAATGTAAGGTGGAAGTCCCAGCAGTGTTCGCGCAGTCGAGTGTCCGATTTTAGTTCCATACACTCGATGACCAAGCACCGCTGTCTCTGTTCATATTCCAAGATGACAGCTTGGAACATTCATGTAATTGTGGTTTGTAGAGGTGTGAACAGAGGTTATTGGGGTTAACAAGTGGCACACTCCCCATTTGGTTGGTCTGGCATTCAGTAATTTGTTCGGTTGTTGAACACAACAGGGTTAATAGGTGAGATAGCTATTTAACCGAAGGGCCAGACGAACAGGGGGCATAACAAGATGATCCAGGGACTATGAGCACGAAACATAGGAAATTACAGGGGGGACTAGATATGGACAGCCCATAGGAAGAATAAGGGTGACAGTCCAAAGTTCATCCCGCTACACTGCAGCCCCATGACCACAAGCCGGCATACACAGTCTGATCCTCCACGGATCAGCTTGGGGATGTCCGAGGATGCTCATGGATCATTTTTCAAGTTTGGTCTGTCTAGACAACGCGTCAGAGTTTCCATTCTGTTTCTCGGGCAGTAATATATCGTAAAGTCAAAAGGCTGCAGCGCCAAACTCCAGCGCAACAGCCTGGAGTTGTCCCCCACCACTCGGTTCAGCCAGACTAACGGGTTGTGATCCGTGAGCAAAGAGAAGGGCTGTCCATACAAATAGGGTTGCAACTTTTTCAGGGCCCACACCACGGCCAGGCATTCCTTCTCGATGGCGGCATAGTTTACTTCTCGGGGTAACAGCTTGCAACTGATGTAAGCCATGGGATGTTCTCCACCATCGGGCCTGACTTGGCTCAGTACTGCCCCCAATCCAAACATAGAAGCGTCTC